TGATTAAATTACACAAGCTTCTTTTGCAAACATTGCAAAATATAACTGATTTTAAACTACTGTCACTGACATGAATGATCATAATTCAGTTAGATCTTGACTTTCATGACGTTAGCATTTATTGCAGGGGGCTGTTACTTTAAACTGCAGGTTGTAGCTAATTGTACCTAATAAAGTGGTAACTGCATGTACTTCGTTATTAATTGCTCTGAGGAAAACAATGATTGCTGTGTGTGTAAGTGTGTGTGTGTGTGAGGCACGTACGCCTCTAATGTGTCTAACACTATTTGACTGAAGGGAGATGCAACTCAACTCAAGGACAGGTGTCAGTTGTGTGTGTGTGTGTGTGTGTGTGTGTGTGTGTGTGTGTGTATCCATTCCCCTGCTTTGTTTAGGACTGCAGCCCATACCTCCACACACAAACACACACACGCACACACACTCACACACGCACACACACAGGCTGCTCTCTGTGTATTGAGCCCTGAATGGTTACGCCCGCGGGGCAGGAGTAAGGTTACTTTACATACTGCACTTACAGCTCCCTTTACCACTGGGGTATAAAATGGATTTGAATGAGAAAAAGGGGAACAGTGGGGTGGAAGGAGGAGGGCCGGGGGACTCCCTTTGTGTAACAGGAGGTCTGCTGCTGCTCTGGCATGGCTATGGAGATGGAGGAGAGGGGTCACTCTCCCTGCTCTCCCTCCCTCTGTTCCTTTACTATAGGCTGGCTACTCTGTCTCTCCTCCTCACCCCCCTCTCTCCCTCCATCCATCCCTTCCTCCCTATTAGCATAGCAGCTGCCTGATACAGGGCGTAGGGTGGGGAATGGCCAGGTTGCTGTGTGCATATGTGTGTGTGTGTGAGGGTGTTTTGTGGGATGTCGGGGGGGGGGGGTTGCAGGGTCCAGTCAATGGCGGTCCGTCTGGCTGGTGAATAGCAGCTAAAGCAGGCCCCCGCGAGCTAGACAAAGGAGCCGGGAGGGAGGGGATGGGGTCGGGGTGTGTGAGGGAGATGGAGGGAGGAGGGAGGGGGTGGAAGAATGAGGCAGTGAATGGAGCGCCTTGTCACTGGCGCAATGGAGAGCAGCACAGAATGAACTGGAAGAATGAAAGAAAAGTTCAAAAAGGAGCGGAGGGCAAGGAAAAGACCGGCCCGACCACCTGTCTCTCTCTCTCACTTTATTCCTTTTACTCCCCTTCTTACTCAGAGGCAGACTTGTGGGGAGGGGGTGTCCACTGGACGTGTTTAGCGACAGACATGTTTTTATTTTCAGGGAGAAAGTGCAGTATCAGCAGGATTTCACTGCTCACTGTCATTCCCCAGCATCGTTGACTCTACGGGCTGCTGCTGTGGTTTAAAGCATTTCTTGCTCCACACTGTGAAACGAGTGCAGCCTAATAAAAGTGAGCAACATGGCGTGAGACTGTCAGAAAGGATGGCTGAGCAGAAAAAGTGCTGACAAGTTAGAAAGTGACACTGTGGGATGATAGTTAACGCAAAGAAACAAGATCCGAATCAGTAATACATCAGAAACTTTGTATCTCATTTACACAAGATTTTTGGATATTGCATAATTTATGTATCGGTCATCGCTATGAGCTGAAATGCTGCATTTAATTTGGATGAATGCACGTTTATGTGACTATTGATTTCAGAAACCAAACAAGCTGACGCTCATCAAACCATTTGTTCTGGTGGAACTTGTGTCGCTATGTGTCAGATAAGTCTTTCACTTATTTAACAGTAAAACGTGATAGAGCACACGGCTCATCTCTAGAGGATAGTCTGGTCTTTTGCACAAACATCTCAAGGGAATTATGGGAGAAAAATTCAATTTGAGTTGTGTTGTGTTGATCTCAATGCTAAAAGAACCTGTAGATACGAACTATGATCAGCTGATAATATAAACAGTTTGTTTGTTGGGCTCCAGGGAAAATGAAACAATATGATTGAGTGTTTTAAGGATCGTGGATAAGCATCATCTTTAAAGCTGTTATAATCAGCACAATTTAAAATAAATTAGCCTTTAGCTTCTTATTAAATGATTGTTTTAGTTAACGCTGCTCTCAGATGTTTTTTTGTTTTTTTACGAAAAAGGCCACTTCTACTGTCAGCAAACACCAGACAGAGTCAGAGATGAGCTGGTGAACATAACAGAGCATTTAGAGGCCAAACACTGTTTCCCCTCAGGAGTCGATGGAGACCAAAACAGAGCTGAAAGGAGAATTTGTCAGGTGAAAACAAACACAACTGATTCAACAAGTTCACTATATCAACTTTGTCTCCAGAGCTCCGGTGCTGCCGCCAACATGCGGCCAAAGAGTCAGTAAACAAACGTCATTCATCTCACAACAGAATCAAGGTGTCTAAGAACGTGTCACCTCAGACAGAGAGTGTGTGTTGTGGACAATTCACAACAGCTGAGAGATGTGCACCAGCCAGAGCTTCTAAACTCCTGAGCCATCACAGATGAATTATTTTAAATATGTCTGATAAGTAATATTAAGTTAGGTTAAGTGTTGTTTGGGAAGTTGATCTTGAGCCTCAGTGTTTTCTGAAATGTCCTCATGGAAAACACAGAAATCCAAGAGGCTGACAGCGTGTCCACATTCAAGCAGCAAAATCCTATCGCAACCATGAATCAAGTCACGAAAGAGGCATGTTACAAACTATGTGAGGAAATACAAGTCTCGATTTCACAAGCTGGGTCATTAAAAGAGCACGGCAGGCGTCATGTGGAGGGCAACAACAAACGAAAACACAACGCAATCGTGAGGGCTGTGGTTCGAGCAAGGGGAAAGACAGTTAAACGTTTCTCTGAGTTCCTCTTTTGGTGTCGTCAATCAAAGTTTTCCTGCAGCAACTGTAAAAACCTCCTCGTGTGTGTTCTTGTCCCAAATCAGACAGCGACTTTGGGGAAGTGCAGGATTTCACAATCAAAGCTGATACTGAATTAATTGTCCAATTACATTGTGTTTTCACACGTATCACAACATGTTCTCTTAAGCTTGTGTCTCACAGATCGAGTGCACCCCTTTGAATGAGGTATGAATATTTTATGAGGGTCTTTTGAACAGCGATGAAAGATAATCACACAGCTGCTGCAACATAGACGCTCCAACGACACTAAATATCGTTTACTGGTAAAATACAAAACAATCAGACGATGCCTCCATACACACACTATCATGCAACTGGTCACGTTGGCCAATTCGGCCTGTTTACGTCTTTACTTAAGTGATTTTTGATGATGCTCCCCTACGTGTTCTGGACCTGATACAATTCCCTGAACAATTCTTCAGCTGATTTTTCTGTCCTCTCTGCAAAATCCGAAAAATGCCTTGTGTTGTCTGGCTCACTAAAGCAGGCCGCTCCATGCAAAAGGCCAGACCCAAGACGGGGTGAGGAAAGCCAAGGCACATGAAGAACCTATTAGGGGGCCTAGCAGCCAGCAGCAACCCTGGGAGGCCTGCCAACTCAGTGTGTGAACAATGGGAACCCAGCTCAACAAAAACATCCTGCAGAAGTGAGAGACTGGGGGGGAGGGAGGGAAGGAGGCGAGGGGAGGACAAGCGAGCAGCAGGCCAGATAGCTTGTTGGGCTGCCACGGTATCAAAACACAGAGAGGCTGGAGCTTAGTGCAGCGGACTCTCCTGGTGTTGAGTTTGTATCTGACAAAGAAATACATCAGTCCAGTGCACTTGATGTGGTCAGCGCTGAGGTCACAGATGGTTCAGCTGCAGCTCTGAGAGGCGGCTTCAACAGCTGCTCTAACAATAGCGCAAACTTTTACTTGTCGGTGAAAACCAGACGTTTGCAGCCGCTATTCGGAATTCAAACTCAAGCTCTTGCTGAAATGAAAACTTGCACAAAAAAAACAGCCGTTAAGCTTTTCCCATCACATCTGCAATCCTCAAGCAGTTGCTGGGTCAACACCCAGTAGATGTTGCAACGGGAATAGGACTGAGAAAGATGTAGAGACGCGTCTCTTTTCCCACGATCCTCCAGCAGTCGTATCAGCATTTTTGTGAAACAGGGAGATCACGACCCGTTCAAAGGCTAAATTTCAAATGAAACAGGTGCTGAGACCAAAATATAGTCCAAACATATCATGTGCATGTTATGTCGGATCCGAGTCAGACATTAAAAAATCTCATAATCTTTTTTTAGTCGCACACATTGTTTAACGCTTTTGGCTGCAAATGAGTGAGTGTGTTCCAGCTTTTTTTTTCCCTTCGACCTTTTCTGACTCATGACTGCTCCAAATAAAGTGAGAGAGGTTAACAGTGCAACCAGACATTTTCAGGTCCATTTCATCACAGCAGGCCAGGAGGCTTCAAAGTTCACATTTCACAGGAACAAAAAATCAAACAGCCATTGAAATATTTACAAGGAATTTTTTTTTCTAGTGAAATCATGGGGGAATCTTTTGCAGACGTAGAGTAATAGAGCTCAGGAGAAAAGGTGAGCAAATTCAAAGACAGAAAAAAACCAAAAGATCATAAATAATGAATACAAGACACGTTCGAGTGCATGCGGGAGCTAAGTTTGAGAGGCAGAGCTGTTAGCAGGGAGCAAAGCCTCAATCGTTGGAAAAGAGAGCACAAGAGACGAGTGTGTGTTGGAAAGTTTTTGAGGGTGTGTATGTGTGTGTGTGGGTGGGGGGGTGTAACATAAAACCAGCTCTCCCACAACAGACACAGGGGAGGGGACCCTTCTTTAAACCGAACCTACCCACAATGCACCAGGCTCTTTTATCCCGGCAGTGAAAGGATGAGGCCAGATGAATGACAAAAGGAGAGAATGGGGATCTGGGTTGGGCCCGGGCTTGGAAGACAGGGAGGGAAAAAGAGAGAAAGGAGGAGGGGGGGGGTGGTGTTTCCCAAACCAACCTTTTCTACTAAAAATGCAGGAGGAGGGAGGGAGAGCGAGGGAGGACGGGGGGGTGTCGAGGCCGAGAAAACGTAGCGTGTGCTTTGGAGGATGAGGAAGAAATGTATGCATACACCAGTGAGTTTAATGATTTCTTTACTGGCTTGTACACAAACGTACAAAAATAATACAGCACTCATCTCCACATGGCGTCACGTCATCATCACAGTGTTACAAACGTTCAAAAATAAAAGAATACAAACAAACAAACAAAAATGAAACATGATGGAACATCTGCATCACTCATGATAAAATCAGCTGTTTCTCTCCTGCTTGAAATGAAGCAAGACCAGAAACACAACTTGGTCCAAAGAAGTCAGCACTTTTTTTTATTTTTATTAAAAAAAACAAAAATCTTCTCACTCATGTACACCAATCCGGCAGCTGGCTCCTTACGTCATAAATGTTATGACCATCGTGAGCCAGACAACCACACAACCGTGCAATTTTTAATCATGTTACAATGATCTTACCATCAAATGTATTATTCCCCTTTCAAAAAAAACAGGAAGACAGCACTTCAGAAAAGAAAGTGCCCCAAGATATCATCATCATCAGCGTTGATATATATATATCCATATGTATATATACATACACCCAATCACAGAGATACACGCATCTTTGTCAAAAAGAAAAAACATCATGTTCTTTTTTTCCACAAAGTGACACACACATTAGGACATTATCACCTGGAGCATATATTTATACAATAGTATTTTGTTGTGTTTGTTTTTTTTCTATTCAGAAAAAAAATTAAAAATGTTGACACATAAAAGCCAACGTTTCAACAACAGTCATCAGTGCAATATTCAAAGAAAAAAATCAAGTTTAAGACAAGCGATGCATATTTCATTTGTTGCCTGATAACCAATCTATACCTTGATGTTGTGGATCTATCGCTTCCGTTACTTGTGGTTGTTGAAAATGGGAAGTTCTCAGTCTGGACGACTGTTCAATGCAGCGGCACGGAGCCTCATGAGAAGCGCACACACACACACACACACACACACACTTCAATTTTAAAAAGACAAAAAAATATACACTCACACTCTCTCAGCAGCTTCTCATGAGGTGAACTAGTGCTGCTGTGAAGCTTCTACACAACTGTTGGCCATTTGAGCAGTAGGCTTTTAAAAAAAACAACACAACAACACCAACAAAATAAAAAGAAAACATACAAGCAGCATCGATACAAATGTTAGGGTGCCATGACTTTCAAAAATGCAGCAGGCAAGTTGATGGAACCATTTTTTTTTTCCTTTTCTGTGACATCCTGCAACAGTCATGTGATTTTTTTTGTCTTCATCGTCCAACAGTATTAGGGTCCTGCTCAGTAGTAGTAACTATTCCAAAGCCTTGGCTCCTGCAGTTACCCCGTACAAACACTGGGGGCGCGCAAGGCTCCGCATTTTTTTGTGCAATAAAACTCCCTGCATTTATAAGTCATGCGATACAATTCCATTTTTTTGTATGACTGAAAATAAAAAAATGACCAAACAGGCTGATAGAGAGAGAGAAAGAGACAGAGAGGTGGAGGTTTATAGGGAAAAACAACACAACAGACAGAAAGAGAGAGAAACCACAGACTCCTTTGCAGAAAATCACACATTGCTTGTGAGAATTGGTTTGGTTGTAGTGTAAAATAAAACTGTCCCGACTGAGGATGCAGGGATGGGTTCATTGCATCTTCTGGAGTCCGTCTGTCTGTCAGGCTTCATAGCAAAAAGAAAACAAAACATACTGGCATGCGGATGATCACAAACAAATAGTGAATCTCTTCAGACTCCAAAACAACGTGGCAGAGTGGTGAGACAGCTGAACAACTTGAGAATACTTTATAAGTCGAGGTAGCTGGCAAAAGGCAACCAAACAAAGTCCTTTAAATGGGAGGAGGGGAGAGAGAAAGTCCTCTGGTGGGTCAACAGGCTATAACAGAGGGGGGGAGTTGGGTTTCTGGGGTGGTGTTGGTGGTGGGTGAGGAGGGTGAGGGTGGCGAGATTACCTCCATACGGGACAGTTTATATACTACGAGTCTGAAGCAGCTTGAGTCACCCTTATAGATATTCTTACACTCATAGATTTTTGTTTGTTTTTTAAAAGAAGAACCACAACATATTCAAAAATGCATCTTCTCAATGTACCTTCATAAATAGAAAAAAAACCCAGCCTGCTTTCACAGTGATGACTAGGGTGTTAATAAAATACTGAAAGGAGATTATAAAGTGAATTCCAAATGCGACTCTTTCTTTCTTTCTTTCTTTTTTGATACAAAGCGAAAGCAGCGGTTTTTCTTTTTAGTAACACAGTGACCATTGGCAAAGTGGTCGCACTGGCCTGGAAAGAGTTGGACGCCAGCACGGCAAGATCTGCCTGCAGAGGAGGCACAGTGCACTCAGCTACTGTCTCTTTCTTTTTCTCTTAAAAAAAAAAATAGTAAAGCTATTGTGTACAGTACTTCACAACATTGATGAAGCCAGTTGTTGTTACATCATGATTACACATCTGGAAAGCGTGTTGGATAGCCATAATGCCGCTCTTTGAGAAAAAGAAAAAATAAAGATTCATTAAAGAAATATAGGCCTCTGGTAGCCAACAGAGGGCAACCCTTCTTCTCTTGCTCGTGTGTCTTCCCTTTCAGATATTCCAGCATGCAGCCATATAGCATCAAGTGCCATGTTTCATATCAAATAACTTAAGAGGATTTTACAAGTGAACAATGCATAAGGGGCAACAGGTCAGATCTGTGGCCCCCCCACAAAGAAACTATTCAACTGTACTGAGGATGGGAGGTCATGGATAGAGGAGAGAAAACTGGACCATCTGCACTCCTGAGTCCTAACACACAAACACACAGGCTGCTCTTATAGTGGACCACACGATCTATAGTAGACACATTCAAGAGTAAAAGCTTTAGTACCAACAAACTCACCGAAGTGGCGTTTTCTTTTTTTTGTTAAAGATTCGTGCTGAAGCGCTGCGTGTGCGTGAACCATGTGGTGGCTTCACTCAGAAGTGCAGAGAGGGCCCCGTTTGGTTTACAGTGAGGGGAGGTTATTGTGCAGGCCTGTTTATGCATTTCCTTTTATATATGTATATATATAATTTGGCACAACTATGTAGATAATGGCAGTTTTTAACGCTTTGAGAAAAAGAGCCTGGCTTTCCCGCATGTGTTGCAGTTTGATTTTTCCACTTATTGTTGCTGTTGTTCTGTTATTTGTCTTATTTTTTTTTACCTGACAGCAGAGACAGATCACCGGGCGCCAGAGGAGTACTTGGCCTTGGTGATGAGGTATAGCACAATGTCTTGGTGGCCCCCGAAGGCGGCGATGTGTAAAGCGCTCCACCCTTCCCTGTTGGCCAGTCGGATGTCTGCGCCAAACTTCACCAGCAGTTTTACCAGCTCCAGGTTGCCGTCTATGACGGACTGGTGCAGGGCCGTCTGTCCCTCCGGCCCGAAGGAGTTGACGTTGAACTCGCAGTTTGTCATGTTCTGCAGCAACGAGTGCAGCTCCTTGGTGTTGCCCTTCTTCACCGCCTCCTGGAAAACCCTCTGCGGCGCGGAGCACGTCGACACATCCGCCTGGCTCATGGTTGCAGCGCGCTGGATGGTGGGGAACCAGTAATCCTGCCCGGAGCTCTAAAGCGGATAGTAACGTCTTCTCCCTGCTGAGCGTCTCTGGTCTGGTAACAATGCCACAGTTACACTGGATTACAACCAGTTATTAAGGCACTTTAAGGTACTAAAAGACAAAAACGATCACTGTATATATCCCAAAAAGGACAATAGGGAAAATAACACACTCGGTGTGCAAAAATGTAAATAAATTGAGAGATCCTATAAATCCCTAAAGCATTAAGGGGTGCTCTCAAGAGGTCCAGGGTCTCTGGATGAAGTTCCCCTTCTGTAGCAGCAGCAGGTCGCCTATCGCAGGAGATGGAGAAGAGACACCTCCGACTTCACTTGGGGGAAACTGGAAGTAGGATCTCCACAGGGCAGCCTCCTCGTTGCCGGGTCCCCACAGGTTTTAGTTAAACGGTCCCACCTGTTTCCTGGCTACACGTCCTGGCTATATGTCGCTGCTTATGTGGCCAGGGTGTCTGGAAAAGACAAAAAAGACAAGAAAAGTCCGCATGAATCCCGATTCCAGACCTACAGGCTGCAGGAGAGACCTCACATACCGCTACATCCAAGAGCAAGAGAGGAGCACTCCGAGCGCACGTTTTACGCACGGACACACTGCTCGATTTAGCCATTAAACATGTCTGGAAGTGTGGTCCGCTGCGGATGTTTGACTTACCTGTGACAGATGGACGGGTCGGTGGCGACGAAAGCGATAGAAATCCACCGTGTGGCCCAGGTCTGTGTCCTCCGTGCGGTCCTCGAGTCTCTGCCCTGCGCTGCGCTCTGGGGGAATATTTTACGCGTCCTTTATATGCATGACAATACCTTCCCAAAGAATCAACTGTGGAGGAATGGGCGGAAACCCGGGGAGGTTATAGGCTGCCGGCATGGTTAGTGGGAGGGACCAGTGCCCTGTGAATCTGCAGGAAGGGGCGGGTTTTCTTCTGATGGGGCTTGGGGGGTGGGAAGCCAAGCGTAACTGCAGAAATATTAACCAAGCCGCCCGCAGCAGTGTGATGGTGAGCGCTGTATCAGATCTCCTGTAGCCGACCCCAGGATGTGGACTCGAAGCCAGAAGGCACGATGCTGTCAGGGCTGTAAACCGCTGAGAGGACGTGCATGTGAAAGATCGTCCAGTGGATTCAACATCAACCAGATCTTGAAACTAAAAGTCAAGTTAGATGTCAGAGGCAGGGATGTTAATGTTCTCTGGCATCCGAGGGGTTTTCCTCAGCCTGTGCACGTGTATAATGAAAAATGAACCAAAATGGGCAGTTGGTTTTTAAAAAATCATATATTCGGAATGGCACGTTTTACGCACAAACTAATATGTGACATTTTTTGAGTTTTCGCTGTTATTCTGACTCATACAATATGTGAATTTCACTACTTAAGGAAATCATTTCTCTAACTATTGGTTCCTGAATATTTTCCGAAATTGATCATAAATGTCTCTTTTCAAAGTGAAAACCATGTGGACTCATTCACACTCTTTCATGTTACACAGGGGCAGAAAAGGTGACAGGTTACTATGACACACTATCCAACAGAGGGTATGGTTTACAGCTGCGTGCTGCTGCTTATGTTACCCAATCCAGCGAACTGTGAACATCTGGTTTAACTTGTGGGCAAATTTGAAATGAAACAAAAAATGCTTATTCTAAACCCACAGGCTGCAGGTGCATTTAAAGTTTAGTTACATTATCTAAAGAGAGGGTTCTGTTTTTACAGCCAAATATCTAAAACGTCTGCCTGTCTGCTGAACCAAATGGTAAAATAATAATCATAAAAACCCTCCAACGGGCCGGGAGTCTTTGAGACGCACCGCTCCATAAAGAAACACCTCGGAGGAGGTTGTTTAAATCATAAACTGCGGATATATTCCAGTTGTTTCTGAATGACTATGGTGGGACTTCAAATAACAAAAGCCCTGCGCTACTTCCTTTTTGCAAGTGAAAAGAGGTGACGCTGTGCGCAGATTGACACGAAGCTCAGCTACCCCCACCACCGTGGGAACTGGGCGCCTGTGTGTGTGTGAGAGAGAGAGCGGGCGGGTGTGGGTGTGTGTGTGTGAGAGAGAGAGAGAGAGAGGTGGTGATAGATATAGATAGATATACAGCTTCACAGAGAAGAATGCATGTGAACGTGACAGAGAAGGACACTCAGAGTGAAGCGGGTTGAGATATGTGTCAACCACACGTACCAGGTACACGTATGTCATCCTCCCTTTCATGGGGCCTTCTGCTTCTGCATCTGCGTGTGACACTTTATAAAAACCGCTCCCTGCTCCGGTGGATCGGCGGCTTTCACACTGTCCTCTCTTCCCACAGCCTGAGCTCTACATTTGGCGCACGTCTGTGGCTGCATCTGCCTGCATGTGAGTGTGAAGGCCGTGCACCGGGCGTGCGCATCAGCGTGGGAGAAACGGAAGCTGAGATCCCACGAAGCTCACAGAATATTTGACTTCATTAAAAAATATATATATATATATATTA